CTTAGACTGTCTCTCCTGCCCACAAAGGTCACACCCTGCTCAGAAATTCTTGGCTGGTGGAGCAGTGGTTAGAGCCTATTTTCCTCTTACCGAGTCCGGAGTCTGCCCCAAGTCTTCCAGGAGAGGAATAGCATTGGTACAGATCAGATCAAATTTAGTGAGAGAGAAGGAAGGCTGACTGCTCTCAGAAAGACTGACAGTCGCAGAAACTCAGGATCAATTCTTCTCAACCTGAACAGGGCCGCTGAATCCGCATCGACTCAATGGATGGGTATCCCGTTTCATCCTTCCCTCAGCACTGTGAGATCTAGACATTCTTACATTTTGTGGATGAGGAAACAATAGGGTCGAGAGAGTTCTACTGATTTATGTGCTAGAGGCGGTCATGGGCTTTGGATTCTAAAGGCTCTGTATGTTGGGTTCTCCCTCTCAACCTATCTTAAAGGAGCTCCTAATTATGCTCCTTGAGCCTCTGGGGACCTCTGCGTGGGTGTCTCAGTCTGTTCTGATGTCCAGCTCATTGTCGTTTCCTCAATACCCAGAGTGCCCATCTGTATTCAAAGCCCCAGGAAAATCTTCCATTGGGGTCCTTTGGGCAAGCTTCACAACAAGTCATCTCAGGGACACATTGTTGAAGCTGATGGGATGGGCCCACCGGATTAGCCTCCCTCATGGATTTACAACTCTTGTTAGCAGTACCAAAAATACGCCCTCTGAGAGAATATACGGGTTTGTACTTGGTGCAGGTTTTCAAACCATGATTTGATTGACCTTCAGAATCACCCCTTGTGAGGTCAGTTTTACTATTCCCATTTTCAAGGTGAGCCACCCCCGTGGGCTAGGGAAGTGACATGCCACCACGTTACACACCCAGGGAGTTACACACCCGGGGAATGGCTGCGTTCTGATTCCCCTCCCACACAGCCACCTCCAGGAGCAGCACCAGCTAACTCAAGGCTTCCCTCCCTGCTCAAGACTCCTAATACTAGAGTATTTTCGTCTGGCTAAGGTGATAGAGCAGAAGTCTACCATTTCCTATATCCTTCATGGACAAGACTTGCAGCCCCACCCCAGTCACTGCAGGAAAATTGGCTCTGACTTTGCAGAAAGAGCCTCCAGGATCTTGTAAAAGTTTTCCTCGTTTCTTAATTGGCAGGGGAGAGGGCCGACTCTCCCTCTATGCCTAGCCCCGCCCTGACTCCTGGAAGAGTTCCTCTGTGGTGGGAGGAGAGGGAGTGAGTCACCTTGTCAAGTCCTTACCTGTGTGTGGCCCTTTCTTCTCTCTCAGGCCACAGGCTCCAAGGTGACTTGTCTCAAATTCCTTCCAGAAAGAGCTCTGGGCTGGACCCATGCCCCAGCTCATGCTGCACAACCAGGTGAACAGCACTCCTCGGGCCTGCCATCCAGAACCCTGGCTGACGGCATTGAAGCAAGATGCTCCCACAGGTAACCCAGAGCCTCCGGCATCTGAGGCACCTTCCCAGCTCTCACTGCCATGGAGTCAGTGCTGACTCACATCGACCCACTGTGGGTTTCCAAGACTGCAACTGGTTACCGGAGGAAAAAGCCAAGTCTTTCTCCCTCGGAGCTGCTGGTGGTTTCCAACTGCCATCCATACAGGTTGCAGGCCAACTCAGAACCACTGCGGCAAGAGGGCTCCTGAATAAAGGCTCCGCTGATCCCTGAGGGAGGAAGGGAAAAATATCTTATGGGTCTTTTATTGTTCCATTGTCTTCCATCCTTCATAGCCAAGAAATGTTTCTCTTTTTAACTTTTTATCGTGAATTGGGCGAAGGTTTCCAGAGCAATCTGTTTCCCATTCAACAATTCATACATATTTTGTTTCATATTGACAGCAACCCCGTTTCCTGTTTTCATTCCTACTTCCTCCCTATTTCCTGTTTTCCTTCTTCCGGCTTTCCTACTCCTTCCTGCCGTCTGAACTTTGTTCTTGGGCAAATGCTGCCGACGTGATCTCATATGGTTGATTCTAAGGAGTGCATTCTACCCCGTCTTATATTGACCTTATAGACTTGTCTTGTTTGGTGAGTTCCGTTCCAGGCCCGAAAGGTGGTTAAGGGTTATGTCCTCAGAAGTCAAGAAACTCTTTCTCATATCTAATTTGAATCTCTCACTGTGATTTCTAGCTCTTTTTCCTGTGGTGAGAAAGGTGGGATGGGTTAAAGAATCCTTAAGTTGCTTTGTGACTATACAAACCTGAACCAGAGAGGGCACCCTGAGAGATGTCCCTGGCAGCCTGAATTCCTGAGGTACGCTGGAAGCCTGGGGCTTTAAGAGGAGGTGTTCCTTAAAGCTGATCCTTAAAGAATAAGGAGGTAGCCAGGTGGAAGAAAGAAAAGAAACAGTCTGGCAAAGAGGTCAGCCTGTGCATAACCATGGGAGAAGGTAGAGATATAGAAGGATAAATAGGTCACGGGGTGCTGCTATTGGAACTTGAAAACTTCTCTTCCTCCTGGTCTCTCTGGAAAGACTGTCAGTGTGCAGGCCCGTGGGATTCCAAATCACCCTTCACTGTGTACCTGCATATGCAGCTTCTGGCCCAGAACGAATGCCTCTTTGCTGAGTATTTATTTAGTAAGTGGCACTGAGCTGAGGCAGATGTTTAATATGACCCCTCCGTCAGGTGGCCTCAAAAAGAAAGCAAACTCACTGCTATTGAGTCATAGCTGCCCATAGGGCAGGGTAGAACCGCCCCTGTGAGTTTCCAAGACTAACGATAGACGTAGAAAGTCCTATCGTTCTCCCTTGGCACAGTTGGTGGGTTCAAACTACTGGCTTTGCAGTTAGCAGCCCAACTGGAAACCAATAGCCACCCAATGCCATCAAGTTCATTCCAACTCATAGTGACCCTTTATAGGATCTCCAAGGCTGTAAATCTTTACAGGAACAGCTGGCCTCATCGTTCTTCCTCGATGCAGTTGGTGGGTTTGAACCTCAGACCTTGGGGTTGGCAGTCTAACGCTTACCTGACAGCACTTCCTGGACTCCAACCATGTTATTTAGTGTTGGGGACTGTTTATCTTCAGGCACAAGGATGAGAATCAAGATTGGTAAGAAAGTGATTCCTTTGAAGTGGAGGTCAGACATACCTCCACTCTCCAACTTTATCATCACTTCTGACACCAGCCGTCCTCCCCCTGGCACTCCCTACTTCTCTGCTGGGTTTGATCTTCCATTGCACTGACCACACAACTCACCTACCACACTCACCATACTCATGACTTATTAGACAAATGTCAGGCTACAACTCGGGACTTGGAGCAACTTGGGAATAGCAGGATACAACTCAAGAGTCAGGACAGCTTCCAAAACACAGCTCCAGCATTTTCTCTGACCGTGCCTACAGGTTGGCCCTTCTCTGACCATGCCAGCCAGCAGCCCCTTTTCTGGCTTCTGACTTCCACAGACAAGGGCTTCGTCTCCTTAGTTCTGCTGATATGCCTGGAGGCTTCCCGCTTCACCAGCAAGCTTCCTTCGTGAAGATGCACAACTCTTACTCCATGTGCCGGCAGTCTCACTGCAGCTACCTCTCACTGACCTCCTGGTCCCCATCATTCATACGGTTAGCAGTCACTATTTCTCTGCTACTGTACACTGCTGAAGCTGCCACCAGTTCTCACCATACTCAGTCTTAGAGCGCTCTTTCTCCCAGGCACCTGGGTCCAAAGGATAAACTCTGCTCCAGTCCCTTGCTGGTAGTAAGGTTCCCCTTACCCTCTGTGGGATTGGCCTTTATTTTCCACTTTGTGATCCTTCCAGCCAGACCACAAACTGACCAGTTCCTTTAGTAGACCATGATTAGTGAATTTGCATAGTAATCTGCCAGTTCACATAAGGTTGTTTTCTTTTGTGTGTGTGTATCTGTAGTTTTAGACACCCTATTTACATAGTGAACTAAGCAATCACTTGTTAAGATGATAATTTAGCCAGTCATTTTGGCAGAATTATAAACCCAGGGCTGGGAAAGCCGTATATGAGAACCCATTGCACCAAAACCCACGAAGTGGCTCCCATCTCAGGCAGGTGAGTGCCCAAGACTCAGCTGAATACCTGTGTGTAAGGCCAGCCAGCCAAGGGAGCCATGTGGCCAGCCCACTTGACCTTCTAGCCATTTTGGCTCATGAAACAGGCCTGAGGGCTGGAGAGAAGCAGGCAGAACAATTGTCTGGATCGTACTTTACTTTTACTTCTGTTTTAAAAGCAATAATGTTCATGCCTTGCTATAGTAGATGCTAAGCCAAGTGTTTTACACATGTAATTTTTGTTTAATCCTTACAATAGCCCAATGAGAAGGGTACAGTCAATATATGAGAGTATTCTATCCCCATTTTGAAAATAAGGCTCAAAGAGATTACGTGACTTCCTCAAGGTCATATGAAGGTAAGACATTTTGGAAAATACATAAGCATATTCATAATTATATTCATAATTATATCACCCAGAGATAACCTACCTTTTTGAGAATAGCCTAGGACTTTTTTCCTAAATCAATAATTTAAAAGCACGTAGCAGTATCATGTTTTTTGAGCCTGCTGTATTCCGTGATGTGCATGTACTGTAATTCGAGCAACTCAGTAGTTGGGCATTTTGGTGATGAATTGTCGTTACTAACAATTCTACATACACTAGGCATTCTTGTGCCTTGACTTAGGACTGTTCTAGAAGTGGACCGGCAGGCCCCAGGGGAATGCGCAGTTGAAAGATCTTTGATGGGTTGTCGAATTAGAGGTGCCACTTTGATTTGTTGGTGGTGTGTGACTTTGGAGGTGCCCGTGTGTTTGTGTAGAACTGCCTCCTGAGGCTTTCGTGGCCGTAATCTTCACAGAAGCAGCTTGTTAGGCCTGTTCCTTCTGCAGTCCTGCCGGTGGGTTTGAACTACCATCCTTGTTGTAACCAGCTGAGCGCAAGCCATTTGTGCCATCCGGGAGCTTAGGGGCTTCTCTTTTTTTCTTGTTTTGTTTTTAAATCATTTTATTGGGGGCTCTTACATATACCAATCCATACATCCATTATATCATGTGGACATGTACAATTGTTGGCATCAACAATTGCTAAACATCTTTCTTCTTACACCCTTTGATATCAGCTCCCCTTTTTCACCCCCTTCCCCAGGAGCCACTTTTAGGAGAATAATAATAGCTAACATTTTTTTTGAGCGTACACCAGGTACCTTCTCAAATACTTGACGTGTTTGTGCAGTAGTACCCAGGCAGAAGAAGGAGTCGTCCTGGGGGTGGTGTGGTCACATGCTCAGCTGCTAACCAAAGCATTGGTGGTTCAAAACTAGCCGCTTCTCTGCAGGAGGAAGATGTGGCAGTCTGCGTCTGTCAATATCCCTGACCTTGGGAGCCCTCGGAGGCAGTTCTCTTGTATCCTACAAGGTCAATATGAGATGGAGTGAACTAGACGGCAAAGAGTTTAGTTTTTCTTTGTTGGGCTTATAAACTAGATGCTGTTGTTCCCATTTTATAGATGAGGAAGACTGAGGCACAAAGAGGTGAAGCTATACAACTAATAAGTGGTAGATCCCAAGCCATTCAAAACCAGGCTGAACAATCTAGCTTTGCAGTCCAGGTTCTTCACCACCACACGGACTTAAGCCGTTACTCATAACTCAAGGTTGGGTTTGTCTCGTGAGTAAAAAAAATTTAATCTTGGAGGAGAGGGCGAGCCTGCCTGTGTATTCATGGTGGCTCAAATTCTGACAGCAGACTTCTTTGGGAAGAAACTCATTACTGGGCACTGGGCACATTGCCCTGAGGAGGTTGAACTTGTAATGTTCATCAGGCTCCCTGGAAGCTCACACTGTGTCCGTTCACAGACTCTGTCCTCTAAAAGCCGATTCAGCCAGGTCCCTATCTTTTCCCACTCCCCACCCCATCTTCTCTGTAGCCCCAAGGAGACAAGACCACCGAGGTCAGGGGGCAGGAATGAAGCACTTGTTAAGCATGGACACTGAGGATGGGTGAGGGGCGAGTGGCTTGTGCCCTTTGGTGCCCATTCTTGCCCTCATACAACCTTCGGAGCCAGGCTTCCCCTCTGACAGAATCGGAGCAGAAGGAACTTGGGCCGTTAAATGTAAACTTCTGGAGGTGGGCAATGAAGGCATGAAGCGGTCTCTTTGAGGAGAAGACACTGCTTTTCATCACAAGCTGAATGATCTCTTGCGGAAAAGACTGGCCTGTGAATCCCTTACTTTAGGATATTCCCACAGTAGCCACCCCTTCAGGCCCTACCCCGAGATCCCAGTAAGGCTGAACGCTGGCCAGTCTGGAAGCAGATTTGGCTGGTGTTCCTTTCTTGACAAAGGTGAAAGATTGTCTTTACGGATAACATGCTCTGTGCCTGCCATGAAGTGCTTTGTGAATTTCCCCCCTCCCTACTCTCTTCCCAATGGGCCTGATTTGCATTTCTTTCCCTTCATTTACAAGTAAAGATGCTGCTTCTCACAAAGGTGAGTTACTGGCATGGCCCCACAGGGCTAGTAAGAGGCAGGACTGAAATGTGAACCCACCAACTCTGATAGGGAGGCTTGTTGTCTAAGACACAGGTTCCTCACCTTAGTTAGCACACTGCCAGCTGGCCTGAGTCCCAGCCCTCACAGCTCCAGGTTGTTCTTCCCCAGGTTAACGGCCACAGGCTGGGCTCTGATGCCCAAGGGGAGGACCCCCTCCCAGGAGACCTGCAGGATTTTCTGGGTGCGGAGAGCCTGCTGCACCAGCTGGATGACCTCACACAGGTGAATCCCGTGACACTGGAAACAGGTATGGGCCTCTCTTTCCCCAACCATCCATCTTCAAATGGGTGGGTGGTTGGTGGTGGGGGGGGAGGCAGGAGGGTTGAGGACATTTGGCTCAGCTTCCCAAAGCAGGCAGGACTCCTCAAGCGTAGGCTGCCCCAGAAGTCTGCCCTGGGGGACCCGGCAGCTGTATCCAAGCTCCCAAGGGCAGACTTGGCTCTCACAAAGGGCTCATCTTAATTAGATCTCGCACCTAGTCATCAGGGAACTGCTGAGATCTGCTGACAGTCGGCAGAATCTCAGAGAGGGCTGCTGGCAGGTGTGTTATCTGTATGAGACTGTGTCTGTGTTTAAGTCAGAATTCTCTAACGGTGCCTGTGCCTTACTTAGTCCTGCGGTGCCTGCAGGCGCGGTACACAGCTGACACCTTCTACACCAATGCGGGCTGCACCCTAGTGGCTCTGAACCCCTTTAAGCCGGTCCCTCAACTCTACTCGCCAGAGCTGATGAGAGAGTACCACACTGTGCCTCAGCCCCAGGTAAGACTCCGCCTGCTGCCCGTCACCTCAGAGCTCCCCACCATCCTCCAAGGCCTCCCTGTAGCTCCTCTACCCATCCACCAGCCATGCCGTCGTTCATGGTGTCCTGGTGGCCCAGAGCCTAGTTTGGGACACACAGGTAACTGACTACAGGACTGAACCCACTGCCACCCTGTCGGTTCTGACTCAGAGCAACCCTAGAGAGGATTGCTGTGATTGCAGGTCTTTACAGGAGCAGCCGGTGGATTTGAACCACCAACCCCACAGTTAGCATCCCAGTGTCTCGCCTACTGCACCACCAGGGCTGCTTGACTGCAGGACAGTGGTGGGAGATAAGTTATTTATTAAACTGAGTTTGGGTCCTAAAATCAGGACCTAGGATAAAGTACTGTATGTTCTTGTTTGAGGCTTATTAATAGAAAGGGATTTATGAGGGTATGTTTGTGTATTAAATGCACCACTTTGGGGAAGAGAAGAAAACGACACAACACAAGGATGCCCTAGAAAATTCAGCACCTGTTCTACTGAGAGGAATAAGTTCCTTGGAGGTGGGGAGCAGAGCAGGCAGGGAGAGGGCTTGTTGGTGTCGAAGTGCAGGGTGTTCTTGGGGAGAGGCAAGGGGAGCCAATGAGGGTCGAGGGGGAGCTGAGCCAGGGCAACTAGCGAGGGTGTGAAGTATGACAGGAGGCAGAGAGACCACCCAGGGGTGGAGTGTGAACTTGGCTTGCTGTGGGGCAGCTGGTTTGGAAAAGTGATGCAGGAGGCAGTGAGGACAGTCGGGGTTTTGAATAGTCCAGGAGGGAGGTGGCTGGGCAAGGACAGATGGAAAGAGAGCAGCTCTGAGACCATGCCTTCAGGAAGCTGTGGGTATAGGCTGGCATTGCTAAGCCAAGCCTGGCGTCCTGTAAGTGGACAGAGCTTCCAGAAGTTCACCCCTGATTGAGTGCCCTGGTGAACTCCAGTGGACTGTATCCCAAGAGCCTCATGTCAAAGGCAAAACCTATGTCACAGTCCCCTCCATTCCCCCAGTGCCCGGCGTGATGCCCAGCACAAGGGGGGACAATTAATATTGGTGGAAGGAGAGGACAGCACAGACCTTCCTTGCACAGGAGTTTGGAGAGGGCTATTTAACTCCTCTGAAACCTAGATTTCTCATCGACAAAACAGGGTTGGCCATGCAGCCAATGCACAGACTTCTCTGGCAGTAACTTGTGATGAGAAAGTTATTTGCAAACTGCCAAGTATCCTAACAACATCATCCAGGGCAGAAAGGAACGCGTAAGAAAAGGTTAAGCCAGAAGCGCGGAGCATCCGGCGTTAATAGCGCAGAGCAATCCGGAGAGAAGGCCCGGCTGTGCGAGGAAATATTTCTGGAGGAGGCTTCCTGGCCGGACCTTTGGCAGCCTCCCCTTCTCAGCCATCACTGAGTCAGCCACACCTGAGAGAGAAGGGTGTTCGCTCACCTGACCCTCCATCCTGTTAAATATTTCAGAAACTGAAGCCCCATGTCTTCACGGTCGGTGAGCAAAGCTACAGGAATGTCAAGAGCCTGATGGAGCCCGTGAACCAGTCCATTGTTGTCAGTGGAGAGAGTGGGGCTGGAAAGGTAGGAGGGCCTCTTCCGTACTCTGTCAGTGTCGTGACAGGCTGGTCTGCCGGGTCATTCCCAGAGAGGCTGTGGTCCCAGCAGGGAGTCCTTGGGCTTGGTGTGCAAGTGGACAAGAAGGCCAGGCTCTGATATAACCCTGAAAGCCAGGCAAACGCCCACTGTTGGGGATTGCAATGTAGTGGTTGAGCATGCATTGGGAAAGATAATGATCTTCCACAATCCCCTGCAAAATGGTGTGGAGGACAAGACCAGCCAGTGCCAGATACGCAGGCTTATTTAAAACCACATCAAAGATTCTGCTTTGAGGTCTGGCTAGCATCTGTGTCTTTCCTACCCCCACAGCGCCTGCCAATGAAATATACAAGCCCCTTTTCAAATGTATAATGGAAACTGGTCATTACAGATTACCAAGCACCAGTGAGTTGGTACTTAGTGGAAGATGTGCCCCTGAGCCAACACTCCAAGGACTTACTGGAACCGTCCACCCTGTTCTGTTGCTTGCACTGCAATGGGTAGTGCATTGGGCCAGCCGTGAGGGCAGACAGAAGCTCTGGGGAAGGCCATGTGGCTCTTGGATGGCAGAACCACACGGGTAAAACAGAAAGTTGGGTGGGAAGTTGCTGAGCTGGTCAGAAGAGGCTGCTGACCCAAGACTCACCACCTTCCTGCCAGGCTTTGCCCAGCTGCCCATGTGTGAGCCAGTGACTGAGTAGCTGCTACCTTTCAGGCCCTGAGGTCTGGCACAGGGGGAAACGGGAAAATGCAGCAGTCAGCCCTGGGGGGCTCACTTAGTCTGCTGCTCCAGACAGACGGGAAGCTAATGATGACCATAAATGGCAAGGTGCGGGCTTGAACTTGGGTGAGGAGAGTTTTTCTGGAGAGATTATCCAGGGGCTCAGAGAGCAGCTAATGCCCAGCTTCAGTGACAAAGCCCACTGTCCCCAAGAATTGCCCCGGGGAGCTGAGGCTGGACCTAGCCTGAGATCCAGAAAGCCAGAGACCAGTCACCTTCATGTGCAGCTGCTACAGCCATGGGGTATGCCGAAAATTTTTAAATTTTTGATTGGTTTTAAAATAAATATAACTACATAGTTGAAAATCAAGCAATACAACCAATCTTACAAAGAGAAATAGCAACTCTGCTTCATCTCTCTCCCTCTCCCAGAGATGGTACTTTTGCCTCTGTTAGCAGTTTGACTATTCGCAGCCATCTTTCTAAACCACATATATGCCCATATAGTGTTACTTCTCAGTTAGCTTCCTAGTTTAACAAGAGCATAGCCCTTCTTTTCCTGCCTCCATGTTCCATCTGTCTCTATAGCACCATTTCTAATTCAGCCCATTTGCCATATTTACATCATGATGACCATCTTATTCACAGAGGAACTACACCATAAATTGTACCATATATACAGTACTTCGAGTATAAGCCGAGTTTTCCAGCACATTTTAAATGTGGTTTTTGTGGTAAAATTAGGTGCCTCCACTGATAATCGGGTCAGCTTATACTGGAGCATATGCAGTATTTCCTTTCTTGGATAATTTTTCTTTTCCCTCTACTTTATTGTCCCACCCGCCCCCTTTTGTTTTCACTTGCTTAGTGTCTCTTTCATGAAAGTCACACGTTGTTGTGGATTCTTTTGTTGTTGTTGTTGCTGCTGTGGATGCTATCCTGCCTCATCTGGCCCGTCCCATAGCTCTGCTCAGGGTTCAGAGTAGGTCTATGATACAGTGTCAGATGGGCTACCACTCTTATGATTGGCATCCCGGAAAACAGAGAGAGCACAGATCAGAAGATGTATTTGACAAAGTCAATGAAAGACAGGCGAGCAAAGGAAAGCTCAGAAAATTAAATTAAACAAGGTGACTACGAAGGGAAAGAGCCCTTGGTCTGTGATCCTTCACACGTGGACTAGAAGGGAGCAGACAGAGAGCCTCTGTGAGCACTAGCAGCCAGCACCTAGAGCTAACACCTTCCTTAACGGGGAGGGAGGGCAGTTCTTCCCCAACAAAGCAGGGGCCTGTTGTTAACCCCTTCTACTCAGGATGGGTCTGGAAGTCCTCACCAAATGCAAGAAGGAAACCGTTCATCAGCAAAGCAGAAAGAAAACTACCTTCTCTCCCAGATGGTGTGATTACCTACATAGCAAAGGTTGGAGGCATTTACCCACAAAAGGCTTGCTGCAGCTAGGCTGTGGTAAGGCACACCAGAATGCAGTGAGGCAGTATATTCAACTCCATTGTCTGCCTAGTTCCTTGCAACAGACCACTGGAAAATAAAATGAAACTGTACCTGCACTTGGCTGAATAAAAACCAGAGTAAGAATGTTATGACCGGGCTGCCTGAGTTTAAACCAGAGCCCTGGCATTGATTCCATGTGTAAACGCCATATTTCCTCGTTTTTTTGTGCCTCAGTCCTGTGATTTCAACCTGGTGAGAGGTGCCCAGAAAACCACCAGAGCGCAGTGCCTGCCACAGATCAATACCCAGGTCACCTGTGAGGCCTCACAGTCCCTGCGTAGCCATGATCAGGGGCTTGTCCCATCTCACATGACAGATCATTAACCTTTGGAAAGCAAACAGTACCTTGCTACTTAATACTTCCAGTGCGCAACAGCTACCATCTAGTTCACCCCACTAAGAAACCTCTGCCCCATTAGGCCTATACTTCCCATTCCCTTTCCCCCGTCTCCCAGCCACGGATCTGCTGGCTCTGTGGAGTCACCTGTCTAGAGATTCCACGTAATGGAATGCTGCAATAGGTGACCCTTGGTGTTTGGCTTCTTCCACTTAGCATACCATTTCCCACGTTCATCCACATTTTACCATCCATCAGTCCTTCCTTTGTATGACTAGATGGTACTCCATGGCTTTCTCTCCATCCACTGATGGACATGGCTCCTCTGACCCCTCACAGCATCTTCTGCAACAGAGGGGAGCACTGCGCTGTCACCCATGGGGAAGTGCCTTGCTCTGGGCCCAAGCTCCATCCAGCAGCTACCCGTTGACCCCTGGGTACGAGGAGGACTGTGGAGGGCGCTGGTCCCTCAGCAAGGCTTAGGAAGTGGAGAGACCCGGGCACAGCTCCCACAGGGCTGTTTCTGTCACAGACATGGACATCTCGCTGCCTCATGAAGTTCTATGCTGTGGTGGCCTCCTCACCCACCTCCTGGGAGAGCCACAGGGTGGCAGAGCGAATCGAACAGCGGATCCTGAACTCCAACCCTGTCATGGAAGCTTTTGGTGAGCTCGAGACTGTCTGCACAGTGCCCCTGCCCTGTTTCCTCAGAGACTACCCCCTTCCTGAGGACAACTAGCAGGGTCTTAGAGAACCATGCGATTCACTGCCTCGGGTCCCCCACCACCTCCCTCAGGATTGCGCCCAGTAGAGGGCCGTCCCGTCACCTTCCACCCTCTAGCCTGGGCACCCTGGGCCCATCTAGCCTAACTCCTAGCCCTCCAGCTTCCCAATGGCCACCAAGCTTGGGGACTTGTCTAAGGAAGGACAGTGCCTAGTGTCTGGGCTATGACTAGCGCCCAGTCATTGTGCCTTCTGACTAAGCCAGTAAGACGCATTGCTTCCAACCCCTTCAGAGAAGGCAGTGTGGACTGTGCGGGCTTGCTTACTCTAGTCCCTTGCCAACAAGTTCGTCCAACTCCTGACTGGCACGTGCTGAGCCCCGAGTGCCCATCTCCCAGCCCTGTCCCCGTGACACGGGAAAGATGGGGGCAGTGTTAACCTGGGGGCCCTCTGTAGGGAACGCGTGCACGCTGAGGAATAACAACAGCAGTCGCTTTGGGAAGTTCATCCAGCTCCAGCTGAACAGGTAACAGTTGCTGGCTGATGGATTCTGGGCAGGGGCAATTCGAGACGGATGTGGCGGGGATACTGTCAACCTGAACCACCGCCGTGACACCACCTCACTTCCAGCCTATATGTCTATGGGCCTCTGGGACTGGTGTACCTTCAGGGTGGTCGCTGAGCTGGAGAGCCCGGCAGTGGGCAGGTTCTGGCTGATATATGCCTTCTGGATCCAACCTGGCTCAGGAACTTTTAGTCCAGCCTCTACCTCGCTGGACCATGATGCCTTCCCACCTGAACTGGGTGCAGGGCCACTGTCAGCTAACAGGGGCCGTTTCTGAGTTGTAGTCTGGCACATGGTAATGACTTTGGGATGCACGAGCACCTCATGGGCTCTGGCGTGTGTGTGCCCAGGGCCCACCAGATGACCGGAGCTGCAGTCCAGACCTACCTGCTAGAAAAAACTCGAGTGGCATGCCAGGCCCCCAGAGAGAGGAACTTCCACATCTTCTACCAGGTCTGGGCCCCAGCCTGCCCCATGCCAGGCTTCTATCTCTCTGCCCCTTCCGCAGTGCCCCCTTCTTCCTGCCACACTCACCCTCGACCCCCTGCCCAGATTTGGCTCTTGCATCAGACTGGCAGCTCTGCTTCCTCCAACAGAAGTCAGGCTAGACTAGGAGCTCCTCTGGGCATGGATAGGAAAGGGTGTGGTATGGCCCCCCAGTCAGAACAGGGATCCTTTCCTCCGGGCAGGGGCTTCTGGGGAGTTTGTGTCAGCGACCTGCCAGGGGGCTCTGCTCACTTCTCTTCTTGGCCCTGGGCGTGTCCTGTGCTCTCTACCTGGCCTTCAGCTATGTCTCACTCCTCATCCCCACTCCAGGCCTGCGGAGGCCAGAGCTCCCTGATACCCAGCTCACTCCCCACCCTGCCCCTGCCCACAGATCTGCAAAGGAGCCAGTGCACAGGAGAGACTGCAGTGGCACCTCCCCGAGGGGGCTGCCTTTTCCTGGCTGCCCAACCCAGACAGGACTTTGGAAGGTAAGGGCCCCTCACCCAGCCCCTGGGCTGACCCCACCACCCTGTGACCTTCTCTAGCCACGACACTGGGCTGGGCCTGGGGTTCTTTTTCAGAGGACTGTTTTGAGGTGACCAGAGAGGCCATGCTCCATTTGGGCATCGATACCCCCACCCAGAGCAACATCTTTAAGGTCAGAAGAAAAACTACACCCTGTACATTTGGTGGGGACCCCTGATAGGACCTGTCCTGTGGTTGTTCCCTTCTGTGCTGTCCCCAACACATCAGCCACCCTCTGTGACCTCTGGAGACAGGGTGTCTTCGGGGTGGAAGGACACGCGAGCACAGTGTTCTCAGGGCTCCCAGGAGGGCAGAGCGTGGGGGTCGGGGGGCAGGTATTAGTACAACCCCGGAAATAGAGAGCTGCTGTTGTCTGGCCTGTTGTGTGTAAGGCATAGTCCCTGGCTTTTTTAACAGTCTGATAGGTGTGGCAGTGGTTTCTGTTTCATGCATGAGACCACCCCACCCCTGGTCAGACACCCTCTGTGGTACAGAGGGCATACAGAGTACCAGACTTAGTGCTTCCAACTCCCGGCAGCTCCCGCCACCTCTCCAGTCGGGATGCTGCCCAGGCCAGGCTCACTGACCGCTCTCGTCCACACTCGTGGTCTCCCTCCCCTATCTGCCTTTGCCGACACCACTGGCCAGGGCACCTCCCCCGCCCACCATCCTACCCGAGCACAGTCTGGCAGGAGGGACAGAGGAATCATTACAGGGAGTGGGTAATCCAGTGGGAAGCAGCCTCTACCACCAGGTAGGTGGGAGCTGCTTAGGCAGGGTGGGCAGTCATGCCCGGCGTGGATACCACCAAGGCAGAGCTGGGCCAGGGGAGCACCCAACACACCCAGGGTGAGGGGTCTACACTGGGTGACATGTCCTGCTGCCCCATCCTGTGTGTGTGTGTGCGCGCGCGCATGAACATGACCACACAGTCGTGAGCATGTCGGCAGGGGAGCCTGCTCCAGAAGTCAGGCCCTCAGGTTCCCTGGGTGGACCCTGGGCACCAGAGGGAAGGAAGGTAGGAGGAATCTAAAGTCCAATTGTCCTTCCCTGAGCTACCTGCGTGGTCTCAGCATGTGCTTTTACCATCCCTCCCTTAAGTGTCCTCCAGCACGCTACCTGGGGAGGGTGCTGAAAAGTGTCTCAGGTCATTCAGGACTCGCTTGCGCCAGGCCACAGACCCTTAAAAGTGAGTGAGTGGGAGCCAGGCGCTCGCTCCTGTGACTGTTCTCTGTGATGATGAGTGTCCACAGGAAAGAGCCCCCACACGCACGCACGCTCGCTCGCTCTCAGCTCGGTCCCGAGTGAGTCCCCTACCCCTCCTCTCCCCTCAGCTCCTCGCCGGCCTGCTGCACCTGGGCAACACGCAGTTTGCCAACTCAGAGGATGAAGCCCAGCCCTGCCAGCTGATGGAGCAAGCCAAGGGTGAGGGACCGGGTGGGGCCCTCCTAGGGGCTTGGTAGTTGCTGTCAAGGTGATTCTGACCGAGTCCTGAATCTGATGCCGTCAAGGAAACACGAAATGAACTCTTGGGGTCCGTCCCAGGTAATTTGCTCCTCGCACCGCTCTGGTGAGGGAGCCGTTGTGCCCCCCTTACACAGATCAGAAAATGCAAGTTTATGAAATGATTGTCCCATACACGGCAGTTCAAATCCTGGCTCTGCCGCTGTGTCCCTCAGTGAGGCTGTTGGCCCCGCAGAACCTAGTGTCCCCCACCCAGCCAGGCCAGTCCTGCTGGGGGGCCTGTGGTGACCTGCTGGGGGGGCATTGGAGAGCAGGGTGATTTGCCTAAGGAGTCCCTGCCTCTCCTAGGCTCTGTGAGGACATCGGCCTTGCTGCTGCGTCTCCCAGAGGACACACTGCTAGAGACGCTGAGGATCCGAACCATCCAGGCGGGCAGGCAGCGGCAACTCTTCCGGAAGCCCTGCTCCCGGCGCGAGTGTGACACTCGCAGGGACTGTCTGGCCAAATTGGTCTATGCACGGTGAGCAGATCCTCCGAGCACTGCCCTAGCCCCACACATTCTCCTCCCTCTTGGGCTGGACTGGCCACCATCAGCCAAAGGAAGGGAAGTAGGCCCAGGTCCTCAGACCCCGCGAGGGCAACAGGAGACTCCCTGAGCGAGCACGTTCAGTGGCAACATTGCCAGACTTCTGATCTGGACGGAGTTCCAGTGAGGGGACCAAAGCCTACCCTGGCCGTGGCCAGAAGTGACGGCACTCCATTGGCAAGTCCACTCCAGGCTCTTCATCAGCCTGGTGTGTGTCCGTGAGCACCTCTGCCCGCTGGCCATGTGGAATTTAGGCCACCCAGCTTCACCAACACTAAAACCACAGGTCTGACCCCCTTCGGGTCGGCCTCTCGCCCGGGCTTCTGAAAAGAGCCGCAGGCCCGTGTCCTGTGAAGCAATGGGGCAGGATGTACTATGTATGTACAATACATACAGACATGTGCTCATGGAACTCTGGCCCCTTTCGGGTGCACTTTGAAGAATCTCTCAAAGAACCACGAGCCTGAGAGCACCGCGGGAACAAGGCTCCAGACAGCTCGTTCCCGGTTGGTTGGTTGGCTTTTGCCTGCCGGTCCCTGAAAGATGAGCGGGTAACTTGTCTGTGATCGTCACTGAGGGGTTAGTTAGTTCTTTCATTTAGGACCCCCTACGGAGTAGCTAAAACCCCTGTTGCTAAAAGGAGGAAGCCGCTCTGGTGGTGCAGTCGTTAAAGCACTGGGCAGCTAACTGAAAGCTCAGCAGTTTGAACCCCAGCCGCTCCACAGACCAGACAGACATCTCCCACAGAGACGTAGTCTCCAAAAGCGTAAGGAGCAACTGGTTGCGACAGCAGCCGTTCTCAACCTGTGGGTCTCCACTCCTTTGAGGGTCGAACAACCCTTTCACACATGGGTTGATTCATAACAGCAAAATTACAGTAATGAAGTAGCAACAAAAATAACGTTATGGTTGGGGGTCCCCACCACATGAGCAATTGTATGAAAGGGTCGCAGCACAAGGAAGGGTGAGAACCGCTGTCCTAGAGGGTCGTCATGAGTAAGCGTTATCTGGATGGCAGTGGATGGGTTGCATCGAGAGAGAGCTGAAATCCAATGAATCGAGGAAAACTGCCGAATAATTCTTTTAAGGAAGATGATAAAGAACCCCCTTACTAAGGTTGTACAAGCCCTCGTGTTGTACAGCAACTACAGCTTCTTCTCTGAGCTGGGGTGGCTCCAGGCTGGAAGGTGCCATTGTGTTCCAGTGGCTTAGGCCATTTGGGTGGGCCCCGCTGGGCAGGTGACAGGGCCTTGGGCTCTGAGCTCCACCAGTGGACTCCATAGTGAACTCCTTCTGACAAACCCCTCCAGCCCACTGGCTCAGCCCACATGGGGCCTACTCCCAGGTAGCCTGGAGCGCTGCAGTCCCACAGGGAGACAGGCAAGGTCCCTGTGAGCATGCCTGAGCGCCCCCTGCAGGTGCTAGAGGTCATTACAGGTGAGCAGAAAAAGGGCTTTCAGCCCCAGCACCCTCCGGGAGTGGCACCCTGGCTGCTGAAGCAAGTCTGCCACGCCTCAGGTTCACCAGAGCCCTTCCCTCCACAGGCTGTTTGACTGGCTGGTGGCCGTGATCAACAGCAGTACCTGCGCAGCCCCTGACACCTGGACTACTTTCATAGGTAGCTGGGCTCGCCCTGCCAGAGGCCCGGGCCCATTGTGGCCCTTCCCCAGGCCCAGGGCTCCTCATCCTCCACCCTCACCCCCCACTGGTTGAGGAAGGCTTTCTCCTCTGCCTCACTAGTGCCACGTCTGGCCAGCCCCTCTCTTAGGTCAGCTCAGGAGGGTAGCAATGGTGGGTAAACTAGCTTAGAAAGGATTTGGGTGGCACGATTGAAGTCAAAACCCTGGAAGCCTGGATGGGATTGTCAGGTGGAGGCAGCTCAAAGGCCCCAGCAAAGTTTGTACCCCAAGTGGTGGGATTCTGGGCACCACTAGGCAGAAAAGACGAGGGCCTTCCAAAGTGTCCCATGGGACTTGAACCAGTGGCTTCAGATTTTGCCCGTTGAATGTCCCGTTCATCCCATCTCAGCTTGGCCACTCTGAGCTTCTGTAGGCCCCTTGCCCTCACCCCCCTGTGCTCTCCCATCCCTGCAGGCCTGCTGGATGTGTATGGATTTGAGTCCTTTCCTGACAACAGTCTGGAGCAGCTGTGTATCAACTATGCCAACGAGAAGCTCCAGCAGCACTTTGTGGCTCACTACCTGAGGGCGCAGCAGGTGGGCGCCTTCTGACTCCTCTCCCTGGCTCCAGCCTCGTCATGCGAGCTGGCTAACAGCCTTGTCTTCCTTCCCGGAGACTCTGGAATTGCTGTGGTACTGAGGCTGATCAGGTCCTGGGCTCTCTGGGCCTCAGACCCCCAGAGCTGCCATCTGACATCCCCCACCCCCGCCCCTCTAGGAAGAATACGCAGCTGAGGGCCTCGAATGGTCGTTTGTCAACTACCAGGACAACCAGAGCTGTTTGGATCTCATCGAGGGGAGCCCCATCAGCATCTGCTCCCTCTTAAATGAGGTGAGAGGGTCAGCTGGTGAGCTGAGCCCGGGCTGGTCCTCTCCCTGCATCTGCTAGTCCCTCAGTCACCTGTCTCGGGGTCAGTTACTGTGACCGTGGGGCCTCAGGCTGAGAGGACTTCAGAGGCTGACAGCCTGTTGCTGGCCCACCCAGGAGTGCCGCCTTAATCGGCCGTGCAGCGCAGCTCAGCTCCAGACTCGCATCGAGAGCGCGCTGGCCAGCCAGCCCTGCCTGGGCCCGAACAAGCTCAGCCGGGAGCCCAGCTTCATCGTGGTGCACTATGCAGGCCCCGTGTGCTACCTCACCACCGGCCTGGTGGAGAAGAACAAGGTGAGTGCTGCCCAGGCGGGGAGCTGGGGTGCAGCCAGTGGCTAGGGCTTCCCCACCTGTCCTCGCCCTCCTGAGCGACCTCCCAGAACCCTTCGGGCCCACTACATGTCTACAGATGCTGCTGCTACTGGGTGTCTGACCAGCCTGTGGATAAACAGGTGGCAGCTCACCTGCTGCCTTTTCCTTCCTGATAGGACCCTGTCCCCCCTGAGCTGACCACGCTCCTCCAGCAGTCTCAGGACCCCCTGCTCAAGGAGCTGTTTCCTACTAATCCCAATGCGGAGTCCCAGGAGGAGCCCTCTGGGCAGAACAGAATGCCCATGCTGACCGTGGTGTCCAAGTTCAAGGTGGGCCTGGAGGAGCGCATGCTCACTCGTCAGTGTCACAGGGGTTCTGCAGGCCCCTCCGAGAGTGGCTGCTGTTTGTGGGTGGCAGTGGGGAACCCAGAGATGTGGTCCCTGAGTGCATGGCATAGCAGATCTGGTGGGGAAGAAAAGCCACAGATGACAGCCCAGGGCCTGGGGTCCCAGTAGAGGCCTCCATACCACTTCTGCCTATCTCTCAGCCCTTGTACACTGCGCCACTTGCCTTCCCCGCCCCTTCACTCCCTCCTCCCTCCCACATCCACCCCTCCTTTCTTGGTGTATCCTCCCCATGCACACAGCCATAGGGTCTCAGCTTTCTTCGCACATCCTTGGGGTCAAACTCTGGGAAATGCAGGTGTGGTAATTAGCTCTTTCTGCCCCAGCTGAGAGTACCCCTCCAACGTCTGCATGGGACTCTGAGGCAGTGAGAACCGACACCACTCCAGCACTTAGAAGGGGCTCAGTGCCAGGAACGCCTGGGGGCTGGTGGCGCTGGTGGGAGTCCTATGTGAGCCGTTTCTCTTTTAGGAAGATTGCTGCGAGAAAGAGGGGATTGGGGCGGGGCGGGGGTGAGTGAGACCAGGTGAAGGGCCCTTGGAGGCAGAAGGGAGAGCCAGAGGTAAGGAAAGTAGTGGTCTGCTCTGAGCATGCTCAGTCAAGTCACATAGTCATCCCAGAACAGGAGTCTCCCACCTGCAGGCCAGGAGGGCCAGAGGCTGAGTCCAGCTACTAAGCAGGGCACAGATGATGCCTGGCAGCCTGAGGCCTGACCCCCCTCTCCCCATGCAGGCCTCCCTGGAGCAGCTCCTGTGCGTCCTGCACAGCACCACCCCCCACTACATCCGCTGCATCAAGCCCAACAGCCAGGCCCGGGCACAGACCTTCGTCAGGGCTGAGGTAACTAACCCAGGCCGAGGCAGATCTGTCCAAGGGCCATCTGACCCAGGCCCTGGTCTGGAGAGGGTGGGGGTAGGGGGAGTTGGACCATCAGACTTCTCTGACAGGGCGTGACCTTGGCGAGGTCTCACCTGCCCTAGCAGGCCATCATGTGCCATGCAATGGCTAGCCACGAAGGCAAGTCGGGCTTTAATCCATCTTGTGCTCTACTTGTGTGCTGACAAGAGACTAGCTGCACAGAGGACGGGGCCTGTTTCTGATTGGCTGGGTGGGTCTCACGTCACCCTCCATGCATGCTGAGGCAGTTTCTGACTGGAGCTAAAGGTTTTGGTTTAGCTTTATTTTGCACACAAGCACCCTTTGGCTAGCAGCTGCCCGTTACTCCTAGGGGCCAACTCTTAGCAATGGGATGCTGGTTAGGCGTCTGTCATGGTTCCCTAGTGAATAGTGAAGCTACAGCAGTGATATACCACACACACACACACACACACACTCTCTCTCTCTCTCTCTGCCATCTAACCCATTCTGCCATACAGCGGCCTTGTGAGGACAGAGTAGAACTGCCCCTGAGACTGTAACTTTACTGAAATAGAAAGCTCTCCCCCGCAGGAGTGGCTGGTGGTTTTGAACTGCTGACACTGCAGTTAGCAGTCCAATGAGTAACCTCTGTGCCACCGGGGCTTCTTCAAGATAACAAACGCAGACAATTTACCAAAGAGAAATGTGTTCTCAAAGTTGAGGGGCTAGGAGTCCTTGCATGACCCCAGCTCTTGGGGAGGGCCCACGCTGGGAGAGGAAGGTCTTTGTGGACCTGGATTCCTTGGTGTCACTGTCCTCGATCTAGGAGGTTCCCAGTGCAGGGACCTGGGTCCAAAGGACGTGCCCCGCTCCCAGCTCTTCTTGGTGGCCTAGGTCCCCATCTCTGCTCACCTCTCTCCGTCACTCTCTTATACGACAGAGGGGTAGCAGGCACACTCCAGCGAAACCCCCTTAGGACTGTCACAGGATTACCCGTATTGCATCCCAACCTTAATCCCCTTGGATCAGATCAGTTCGCATGGATCATCATTTAACTGTCAAACTACTGTAAACAAAATTAAGGCATATTTGAGGGGACTCAATTCCATCCATGACAGTGGCCTTGGGGTTTACAGCCAGAGCCACGCTCCTGTGTGAGAAAGGCCTTCGTTCTGGTCACAAGGATCTTGCCAGTGTCACCTCTCTGCCCTTCAGCCAGGAGTCTCTGTTGAATCTGGCTGGGCTGTGAGCTAGTAAGTTCTCGGTGCTAATGGATGTGCTGGGGCAGAACTTTGCTGTCTCCAACGCCATGTGTCAGATCAGAGGGACTCAGGTCTCCAGGGACCCTTTCTAGAGGGAAAGTCCTCTGAAGTCCCTTGATTGCTGACTGCCCTGAAGAGTACACACACAGCAGAAGGTGTGGGAGGCTGTGTAGCCCCCGTGCAGTGAGTCCCCAGCCTGTCTCCCACCCTTGCAGGTCCTGAGCCAGCTGGAGGCCTGTGGCCTGGTGGAGACCGTGCACATCAGTGCTGCCGGCTTTCCTATCCGGTGAGCGGGAGCAGGGCTGCAGGGAGGGGGCAGTCTCGAGGCTCAGCCTAGCAGTATGGTACAGGGTGGAGTGCCCAGAAGGAACACTGCTAAGCACAGGCTAACCTTGCTTACCGGGTGCTCCATCCCTGCTGGCGAGCAGAAATGTGGAGACCTGATTCTGTAGAAAAGTGCCTTGGGTTGGGAGAGAGACAGCTGTCACACCAAGCTGAGCCTTTGACGTGAAGGGGAGATGTGCAATTGTTCACTGCAGATTCCTAAGTACAACATGTAAGCCAGGCTTGCTTACTGGGCAATCGTATCTATTTGTTTCCTGGGCGCCCTTCTGCAGCAGGCACTGCTGAGTGAATGGGCAAGGTGTCTCTGCCCTCCTAGGACATGTATTCTTGTGGCAACAAGAAAAATAAGTACAATCTTTTAAATTGCATTTTCCCACCAACTTTTAAAACCTCATGTGTTTGGTGCTAGGAAGGATACCAAAACACTACTGGATCAAGGGCATCCTCCAGCCCACGGGGCAGGAAGGAGCAGGCTGCAAAGATGGAAGGGGAGGGTAGAGTGGTCCAGAGCAGGCCCAGGGCCAGCAACCATAAGTGACTGGGGCACTGGGGTGGGCAGGCTGGGACCAGGAGGAGGGGGCAAAAGACCATGTGAGTCACTGGCGGGCTTTGCGGTTTGCCCCGAGGGCAATGGCAGGCAGCAGGAAGAGCTGAACAAGGCACCCCTGGTCGTCGCCCAGCGGCCCAGCACCAGGAGGGTAAAGATTCCCAACAAGTCTTACCTTAGCAGCTCAGTGTGCTGGCTTTTGTGTCTGGTCCACAATTCATGTCATTAGCAGCTTCTCCTTCTCTCCTCCAGGGTCTCCCACCGGAACTTTGTGGAAAGATATAAGTTGCTGAGGAGGCTCCGCCCTCGCACATCTTCTGGCCCCCACCGTCCATGTCCTGCCCAAGGACACTCAGGTGAGCGGCCCACTTGCCAGTTTTCTGTGGAGCCCGGTTTCCCACCCCCCACCTCCAGCTCCCTCAAGGCTCCGGGGCGGGCTGGGCACTCAGCTCTGCCTGCAGGGGGAGAAGCGACTGGAGGAGAATAACCCAGGTGGAAAGTGGGAAGGACCCTGCAGTCGAGCTGGCGCTTGGGAGTGGGAATTGGGGAAGGCTTCCTGGAGGAGGTATCAGGATGGACTGGATTAGCAGATGAAGGGCTTTTGCCTGTCCGAGTTCATGTAAGCCACTCCTGGAGGCGCTCGGCGGCTCACCTGATGCATGAGGGCAGAGATAGGTGAGCCTGGGCCCAGGCTTCCTGGACTTGCTTCTCTGAGCAGATGGGGCAGCGCTGGGTGAGGGAGGCCAGGCCGCTGTGGGGCTGGGGGAAGCCAGCAGTGCAGGCAGTTGGAAAAGAAGAAATGGACCAATGTGTGCATGATTGGCTATAGAGAAAAGGACAGGGAGCCGAGGCTTGGGGCACTGCTAACCCCAGGCCTGCATTCTGGCCTGTGGCCCAATTAGCCAACGGTCAGAATGTAAAAATAGCAAAGCTCTGGGAGTGAGATGGCCCAGGGACCGGGGAGCAAAGTCCAAGGGCTGACAGGAGGCTGCACTGGGCAGGACCCGGCCTGGTGGCAACTGAACACCCACCCTTCCCCGCCCCGCTGGGCCCCCTGTACCCCACAGACTATTCCACTCTGCCACCTTCTCTCTTAGGCAGACTGTCACTTTCCTTTCCCCTCCCCCTCTCTCTTCCCCTCTTTCTCCATGGTCTGCTTCCTGCTCTGTGCCCAAAGCCCCTCGGGTCCCTGGTTGGTTTTGCAGCTGTTTCTCATCTGCGGTGTCTCCCTTGGCAGCCTCTGTCTCACCCAGGCATTGGCGGCTAAAGGTGGTCAGAGCCCTCAGGTAAATGGCCCTCTCCAGGAGTCACCCATGAGGTGTGGGAGGGAGGCAGGGGCCCACCGGCCAGGCCTTCACAGACCTGGCCCTTCTGCTGTTTTTCTTTGCTGGCAGGGAGGGCGTGGGCTGAGGGAGGGCCCTGTTGGTTCAGGATGGCTGAGATCTTGGAAACAAATGCTGCAGAGCAAGCAGCCTGGGCTTCTGACTGCGAGGAGTTGCTTTATGGAACATGCATCCAGCACCCTGGGCCAGCCCACCTAAGGGACCTGTGGGGATCCCGAGACGCTAAACAGGGTGATTGTCCCTGAGCTCCTGGGACAATCAGAAAC